TTTCTGGTAAGATTTGCCCATAGCTTGGACCCCATCAGGTGCGACCACCCAGTGTCAGACTGGTACTGTAAACACCACAATTAAAAGATGGTTACACGCTCCTCAAAACCTGATCAGAAGTCTTGCTGTTAGACATAGTTTATCGTCTTACCCAGGACGCGGATGTAGTTTATCGTCTTACCCAGGATGCGGATGTAGTTTATCGTCATACCAAGGACGCGGATGTAGTTTATCGTCTTACCCAGGACACGGATGTAGTTTATCGTCTTACCCAGGACGCGGATGTTGTTTATCGTCTTACCCAGGACGCGGATGTAGTTTATCGTCATACCCAGTACGTCGAATACTCATTGAAAAAATATTTTTGTTTTTGTATATTTCTTTTGTTTTGTTTTTGTCTTTTACGGCATATCAACCTCAATGGGCTGATATGCCGTAAAATATGTTTGGTTCAGTATTAAGACAGATCCTTTTTCCCCATTCTCCATTTTTGGCCTTGTGCCACATTTTCTGTACATAGCAGAAATAAATATCACTTTTCGTTATTCTGCCTAAACTATATGGATTTAAACGTAGTACAAGACTTGCGACAAAGTCTCGTCATTTTAGAGTTTGATTGGCTAGATGTATTCGAAGACGTGTCTGTCTAAGGCCTGTTTGGCCTTCGTATATATAGATGTCTCTCCTCTAAAATTTGACATAAATCAATGTCAATTTTATTTTTAATTTATCCATCCCGACTGTTTAAATTGTAGATCTTGTTAATAGTCATATAGCATTCTTGTTGTTCAGGATTTTATGCACTTTTTTTATCTGTAAATTTAAATTTTTATTTATTTATTTTTTATATAATGCCGATATGATTTTTATTGCTGGTAATATCCTTGTTCATGTATTGCTGGTAATAATTTTTTCCTTCAAAAATATATTACTGGCAATATTGTCATTTAAAAAAATCTATTGCTGGTATTTTTTTTTTCAAAACCTTATTGCTGGTAATAATTTATTGCTGGTAATAAGTTTTTCCTTCAAAAATGGAATTCTGGTAATAATTTTTACAAAAATATATTGCTGGTATTAAAACCTGTTTTCACACTTTCATAGCATTTGGGGTCAACTATTTGCCCATAGCTGGGACTCTAACAGGTACTAACACACCGTGTCAGCTTAGAACACTAGCAATTAAGAGGTGTTCCCACGCTTCTCAAAACCACCTGATGAGAGGTCTTGCTGTTGGATGCAGTTTATCGTCTTACCCAGGACGCGGATGTAGTTTATCGTCATATCCAGGACAATGTATATTTCTAAAATACGTCTTCTTTTCTGTGTTTCTAAACACAATTTCTCTCAAACATCCCTGCCATATCCGCCATTGTGATTTGAAATTTTCTCTTTCCTTTCAAAACGATTTTGTCCAAGGTTGTTTTAGCATTCTTTTAGACGTTTAAGTTTTTTTTTTCTTTTTCTACTGTATTTCTCAAATTTTCTTTGTTGTTATCTTTTATTTAAAGAAGTTTTATTGCCGATTCGGTATTTTGCATACCCGCCACCATCAGTTTTCAATAATACCCATCTGCGACGTCGCGACTTTTTTTTTTCTTACCCAATTCGCCATTTAAATTTTTATCTCCCAGCAATTTCACGTCTTTTCGTTCACAGCATACAAAGACCGGAAGTCGGCATACGGAATATCTTTTATCGAACAGCACGTATTTGTACTCAGTGTCGACGCCACTGACAAAGAATGCATCGACCCTAGCGTTTGGCGAATTACGTCAAAGCTCGATTCTGAGACATTTCTACTATGGATAAGAGCAATGTCAAGATTGGACGGTTGGCCGGTGTTTATTTCTTTTCTTACTGTTGAACAACTTTATATATATATATATATATATATATATATATATATATATATATATATATATATATATAGCTTTGTTTCAGGGGTAGGGGGGATATACAATCTTTTTCCTTCAATTGTTCGTTTTTATTCCTTTATTTTTTGTTGGTTTTTAATCGTATCTACTTTCTTTTTTCATCCATTCTTTTCAAGGCAGATAACGTCGTTTTGCATGCGTTTCCTTTTAAGCTCATTCAGATCAAATTCTTTTATTCTTCAATATTTCCTAACACACCTAGGATGATACAAGGTCAAGAGGAGTAAAAAGGCAAATAAGTCTGCCTTAAAGAGAATATTCCAAGTGGAAAGGGCTTGGTTGCTTTAATGAACAGATTTCGATACACAGGCCCTTGACACCAATGATAGATAATAGATCTCTTACAGGCATGATATTCACTAGAATTTGTTTGTTTTAATTGTAATTCAAGATTCCTTCTTTATTTCTTTTTTATATTTTGTTTTCTGTTCTTTTTTTAATTCTTTTTTATTTTCTGTTCTTTCTTTCTTCTATCGTCTGTTCTATCTTTCTTTTTTATTTTACGTTCTGTTCTTTCTTTCTTTTTTTCTTTCTTTCTTTCTTGCCCTTTTGATTTTATCTTCTGTTCTTTCTTTCTTTCCTTTTTATTTTATCTTCTGTTCTTTCTTTTCTTTCTTTTTTATTTTATCTTCTGTTCTTTCTTTCTTTCTTTCTTTCTTTCCTTTTTTATTTTATCTTCTGTTCTGTTCTTTTTTTTTTTTATTTTTTCTTTTGTTCTTTTTTTTTATTTTATTTTTCTGTTCTTGCAATTTTTTGATTTTATTTCTTTCTTTCTTTCTTTTCTTTTTTTATTTTTTATTTTATCTTCTTTTCTTTTCTTTCTTTCTTTCTGTTCCTTTTTATTTTTTCCTTTTTTTATTTTATGTTCTTTCTTTCTTTCTTTCCTTTTTTATTTTATCTTCTGTTCTTTCTTTCTTTCCTTTTTTATTTTATCTTCTGTTCTTTAATTCTTTCTTTCTTTCCTTTTTTATTTTATCTTCTGTTCTTTCTTTCTTTCTTTCTTTCCTTTTTTATTTTATCTTCTGTTCTTTCAAAGTTTCCTATTTTCTATCCTTTCTTTCTTTTTTCTATTTTCTCTTCTTTCTTTCCTTCCTTTTTTCTTTTATCTTCCGTTCTTGCTTTCTTTCTTTCTTTTTTATTTTATCTTCTTTCTTTAATTCTTTTTTATTTAATGTCCTTTGTTCTTTTTTCTCTCTTCTTTTATTTTGTTCTTTCCTTTTTTATTTTATCTTCTGTTCTTTTTTTCTTTCTTTCTTTCTTTCTTTCTTTCTTTCTTTCTTTCCTTTTTATTTTATCTTCTGTTCTTTTCTTCTTTCTTTCTTTTACATTTTATCTTCAGTCTTTTCTTTCTTTCTTATTTCATCTTCGGTTCTTTCTTTCTTTTGTCTTTCTTTCGTATTTTATTTTTTTCTTTCTTTCTTTCTTTATTTTTATCTTAGCTTCTATTCTTTCTTATTTATTGTTTTTCTTTTTTCTTAAATTTTTTTTAGCTTTCTTTCATTTCTTTTGGTTCATTTTTTATGTTCGTTCTTTCTTCTTTTTCTTCTTCTTCTTCTGGCTCTTGTGCCTTGTATTTGGGGAACAACAGCGTAAAGAAAAATGACCGCTACTCGTCTGATGACATTCGTTAAAAAGAAAACGTGTGCTGTGTCCGTTGCAGTGTCGTCGTCGTCGTCTTCTTCTTCTTCTTCTTCTTCTTATTCTTCTTCTTCTTCTTCTTCTTCTTCTTCTTCTTCTTCCACTCCTCCTCTAACCCTTCTCCCTCTCATTCTCTCCTTCTTTCCTTCCTCCTTATCTTCTCCTCTTACACCTCTTCATTTCTTCTTCTTCTCTTTCTCCTACTCCTTTCTTCTTCTTCTTCTTCTTCTTCTTCTTCTTCTTCTTCTTCTTCTTCTCTTTCTGCTACTACTTCTTCCACTCCTCCTCTAACACTTCTCCCTCTTATTCTCTCCATCTTCTTTCCTTCCTCCTTCCCTTCTTCTTCTTCTTCTTTGCACTTCCAATATATAGAATAATTAAATAAATGTTTGCTTTTTTTGATATATGTCCCCATTTTTCAAAACGAATCTATCAAATTCTATCTACTCCAGTCAGCTTCGGAACTTTATTGGCAAATTTCCCAATGGAATTAACAGCTGCCATTAAAAGAAAATGAAAGCACACATTGTGAAAAATGATTTTCAAGAAACACTGGTCCTACGACATGTATCTTCTCATTAGAGAACGTTTACCTCTTCGTACCAAAGGAAAAAGAATTTATTTAAATTATCTAAGTTTTAAAATCGGTTCGTATATATTTGTCTCTTTCGGTTTGTTCTAATCTATCTATCTATCTATTTATCTGTCTGTTATATTCAATACATATCTATCTGTATATGTATCCATGTATTATGGATCTATGTATATCCATGTCTATCTTTATAAATCTTATCATATCTATCTATCTATCTATGCCCATATATATCTCGATCATGTTAGATGTATGTACGTATGTATGTATGTATGTATGTATGTATGTATGTATGTATTTATGAATCTATCTTCTGTTTATCTATCAATTTATTTAACTATGTTCATAGCTATCTATCTATCTGTTATATTCAATACATATCTATCTGTATATGTACCCATGTATTATGTATCTATCTTTATCACTCTTATCTATCTATCTATCTATCTATCTATCTATCTATCTATCTATCTAGTTTACCTCAGTCTTTTCCTATCTTACTATCTGTCGCATTCTGTTAATATCTATCTCGTTTACCTCAGTCTATTCCTATCTATCTATCTGTCGCATTCTGTTAATATCTATCTATCTATCTATCTAAAAAAAACTGAAAAAATGTGTTTAATTAAAGATAAAATGTTTGGAATGAACGTTAAAATAATTAAATGAATAACAGGAAAAATATCGAGTGAGATGAAAGAAAGAAAAATATAAGAACGAAACAATGAATGAAAAACGTAAGACAGAAAATTCAATAACAGAGAGAAAAAAGGATAAAAAGAAAAAGCTTCTACAAAGAGAAAAGTGATGAGTAGAATAAACATGAATAAACATTATTGAGTAGAAGAAAGAAAGAAAGAAAGAAAGAAAGAAAGAAAGAAAGAAAGAATATAGTAGGGAAAATGAAAGTTATGAAGAGAAAAGCCAAGGAAAAAACAGTGAATTAAGAAAAGAAAGAAAGGAAGAACGACAGAAATAAAGAAAGAAAGAAAGAAAGAAAGAAAGAAAGAAAGAAAGAAAGAAAAAACAAATGTACATATGGGAACGTATAAAATTATAAAATCCTTAAATGAAAATGAGAAAGAATATGTAGTTAGGGCTGACATAGAATAAAGAAAGTAAAAAAGAAAGAAAGAAAGAAATGAAGGACGAAAGAAATGATGATAATTTTTGGAAGTGCTATCTGATGATCCGACGACCTTTAAAAGGACTCTGGTGAAATAAATTATTATAATGGTACCTTAAAGTGGTCTGTTTTTCTTTTAAATATTAGCTCTGGATTTCATTGAGCTCTCAGGATTTCATCCTCCTTGGGATTACCCATACGGATTCATAACTTAATTATATATATATATATATATATATATATATATATATATATATATATATATATATTGTGAATTTAGGCAGTAATCCTTCATTTATGGACGTTTCATTAAAAACGACAGACAAGGGACTACCATTTTTTTTCTTTTTTGTCACAGATTGTGTAGAAACTGTCCAAATATTCTGTAATTCTGTAATTCCGAGCGCTTTCGGCTATCCTTCCAGCCATTATCAAGGATAATTTTATTTTTCAATTTAATTGGATGTGCGGAGTTGTGTCTATGTTGTTAGTGTTATAGAAGTGTTTTAATTTCCGAACACAGTTGGCACATTGTGGCCGTGTTCGTAGTTAATATTATTGAGCGTTGACTTTTTCTTTTTTATTATTAAGGCTTCCATTATTTTTAATCTTTTTTTTTTTTTACATGTGTATGAGGTTATTATGTTTGTGTTTTCTACTAATATGTTTCGGATGGATGGAGTTTTTATTGATGGCCAAAAAATGGTTTTTATTGTTAACACAAAAATAATTAGAGGGGTACTGAATGAGTTTTTTGAGAAGAAGTGGGTAATAAAAATGATGATATTTAACAAATGAAAGCTGTCGGGGCATCCACATGGTAGTCTGCTCCATAAAAAAACAAAAGGACTGCACGAACTTTATTTGAAAAAAAAAACAATTATAATGAAAAACGTAAAATTGGATAAAAAATCCAATTGTAAAAGTTTATTGAATATACCTTCTTCTGAGTTTTGCCAACGAATCTCTGTATGGGGTACTGAATGAGTTTTTGTCATTATGTGTTATGTGACGTTGCACTTAAATGTTTAACCTAAAAAGAAAAAAATTGTAATAGATAAAGGAAGAAAATAGAATGAAATTAAATGAAACAAAGAAAACCTATTGAATGAAAACTAAAATATGTTTAAAATAAAAGAATAGATAGAGAAGAATAAAAATTTACCAGAGATAAAAAATTATGTCGTTCCTCCTATGATTGCAAGATGGAGCTGTCGGGAAGCATCCACATGGTAGTAAAATGGAAAAAAGAAAAGACATGCTGAATAAGAGAAAAAGTTAACAGACATTCCAATGAAGAAAAGATGAAAAAAAAAAATATATATATATAAAAACAAAGACCGCCATTCTATTTTCTACAAAAACAGAATAGAATTAAATGAAGAAGTGTGGGGACACTATTAGAGAAATACTTGGTACAGAAGCGAACAGAAGATAGTTAAAGAAAAAACATATAAACATTGTTTTTTCAGTGAATTAATACAAAACGAAAATTTAAAGCTTTGTATCCTTTCTTCTTATTATTCTTTTACTACTACGACTACTACTTCTTCTTCTTCTTCTTCTTCTTCTTCTTATTATTATTATTATTATTATTATTATTATATGGACACACTACCTACCAAGTCTTGGTGAAAAGATTAAGGCATTATTATTATTTTTTTTTTTTTTTTTTTTTTATCCGATATTAGCGTTACATAGACAAATTATTAAGACAATTTTCTGTATGTCTCTTAAGCTGGGGTTTCCAGGGATTCTTTCAATGTGTTGTTTTGTTCCATTTTTTATAATTCCAAGTGCACCTATTACCACTGGTATTATTCTTGTTTTCAATTTCATTTTTTTCTATTTCAAAATTTTGATAGTTTTTTCAAATTCCTTGGTACTATGTTACAATCCGCTTCAAGCCATATCAATTAAGGCAAGTTTTTTCTTTCTGGTTTTTGACAATAATGTCCGGCCTATTTGCTTCAATTTTTCTGTCTGTGTTATTATTATTATTGTTATTATTATTATTATTATTATTATTATTATTATTATCATGGGTCCTTACCTATAACTACAAAATGAACTCTTCCTAACACTATGTATACTACGCCTCTCAAGAGAGAAGGACGAAGCGAGTCGAGCTTCTCGGATTGACGGTCGAACTCTCTGCCCTGAGCAGAGAGGAACCCGGACGAGGCTCCGCCGAAGGGAAGAGTCTCGTTCGGGGAGGTTGACCAACACGATCCCGTTTATACAGGTTCTACGGGCATTTTTTGGCCGAGCCTACAGGCTCGGGAAACCCACGTTAAACTTGGCCTTGTGCCACATGCAACCCTCGTGGGTAGGTGGCTAGATACCAAATCGAGTCGGGCCGATAGTAGTTTACTCCAAACCAGACTGACAGTCAAACTAACACCTTCCACATCTTGTATTATTATTTTGTGTAATATACCTTCGATATTTCTACTCTTGTGTTCGTGTTGTTCTTCCTTGGTCCTAACCTGGACCATAACAATTATTATTATTATTATTATTAATATATTCAAGGTAGTAGGTATACGTTCATCTCTTCAGTTAAAGGTAGCTTCCTGTTTGGTCAAAATTCATTGCTTTGGTGTCGAGACTGGAGTGATCTCTCCAGGATGTGGGCCAAGATGGCTAATGATATTGATAGGCCGTATCGACAAGATTCATACTAATACAGGACATTATATCCGTGGAGGGCTGGGCTACAGAAGTTGCCAGAAGGTCATCATTGTTGACATCCAACCGCCTTCGGGGCTCCACCCATGGTTTTCTGTCAGTATTTCCATAGCCTTTTCCGGATTTAGATATGACCGCAAAAGAACGGAAGTTTAAAGTCAAGGTTTTCCTTTCCCTAGATGATCTACCTCCCTGGGCTGTCGAGTTTAATCTATCCGAAACAGTCGATTATTCCCCGGCCTTAATCAAGCTGGACTTTGTTTTCACAGGCTCTTTGAGACGCATGATACTCAGGCATTTTATAGACAGTGGAACTTTGTCCCTACAATCACTCGCGACTCTGGCAACCTTTGGAACATATACAGTATACGTATATACATTACGTGTTTTAGACGCTCCCAAAATTATGAAGTCAACATTTAACATACAATAAAATAATTTATACTGATTTTTTGATAGTACGAACATCAAAATTATCATTGCATTAAATATGAACAAGAGCAGAAAATGCAAAGTTGATAAATATAACTTTAGGTATACAAAAGCAGAAAGTAAAAATAAGACAACCCTCTTCAGGTAAGTTGTATAAAAGCAAATAAATACTAAGACAAAAAAAAACGGGACTTGTGAATAATGTTGAAAGAGATAATTATAAACAATACATCAATCACATACTTATATATATATATATATATATATATATATATATATATATATGATACGTAAGCACAGTAAGATTTAAAATACGGTGCTCATTTTTTTATTTTTTAAAATAGTCCTCTATAGAAAACAGGCAAAATATAATTATTTTCATTTTAAAATATGACTCATCTTTTCAAAAAAATATATATATATATAATATATATATATATATATATATATATATATATATATATATATATATATATATATATGAAGAAAGAAATATACGGAAAAACAAACAAAAATCCTTGTATACAATTATGCTGTTTTAATGTTAATATGTCAACATGTTAATTATATTTTATGAATATGTCCTGAAGATGGTTTATTAGACCGAAACGTCCGACGTTGACATATTAACATTAAAACAGCATAATTGTATATAAGGATTTTTGTTTGTTTTTTCCGTATATTTTTCTTCATACTGTCGGATCTATATCCATATATTTGCTTGCACATATATATATATTAAGAAATGGACAAAGTCCGACAATTTATTTATTAAAGACATTTTTATGTTTAACGTTCTTTTTTATAGATACAAGTATTTAAGTAAATGCTCTGTTTATAATAAACAGTATTAAATAACATTTACCGGCCTGAATGTCCGAGAAATTTTCATAGAAAATATTCGTCTTTTTTAATATATTTCTTAATATATGACGTCATTTGTTTACATTTGATACGCCAGAGCAGTTATGAATGTACGAGATTCATGGAAGATTGAAGTTTATAACCAGTAAATTCGACCTTTCTCGGACATTCATGTTATTTAATACTGTTTATTATAAACAGAGCATTTACTTAAATACTTGTATCTATAAAAAAAGAACGTTAAACATAAAATGTCTTTTTTATATATATATATATATATATATATATATATATATATATATATATATATATATATATATATACTACTACTACTTTACCCTTAAGGGTATATTCTTGAGGCCCCACGGGTTCCGAGGGCCGGCACATTTGTGTTGGCTTTTACTCCGCTTTCGCCGCCACTGGTATTAGCTTATCCCTGCAATCACTCCCAGCTATGACAATTTTTTGAAAATCTACGTCTATAAACATTATATACATTACAAAACCTGTTTACGAAGTTCGCAAAATAACTGTTTTTAAATATATAAGGCGTTAGGTAAATGAAAATGCTATAAAGCAAAAGAAATCATGAAATACATTTGTAAACGAACAAAATATCGGAAAGGTATGAGAAACAAAAAAAAAATAAAAATATATATCGAAATTTAAGTTTAAAATACACGGAGATTATGAAGTCATTATTTAACATACAACAAAATAATTTATATTGTCTTCTTGACAGTACTAACACCTGAACTATTAATTGATAAAAAATGAGTGAGAGTAGACAGTATATATTCATAAATATATATTTAGGTAAGCAAAAATAAATTAGAAATAAGACAAATGATCTTCAGGTTAGTTGCACAAAATCAAATAAATATTAAAACAGAAAAACCCGGTAACTGTGGAAAAGTTGAAAGAAATAATAATAAACAATACATTTATAAC